TTATTTTTTGGAATAAGGCGGGGGGGGGGGGGGGGAAGACAGGCTTTAGTCTTATATTCTCATTCTAAAGAGACCCATGCGTTTGCCTAATTCTACACATGGCAAGTAGTCTTACTAACATGAATGGGATGACGCACAGAATGTAACATTAAGTATAGGCATAAGTCTTCGCAAGTTCTATTAGCTAATCTAAGATATTTACATAACTCCCATTGCCCTAGTACCTCACTTCTCCCCCTCCCCCCAAAATGTACTTATGTACTCCATATGCCTGTGAGATAGGGAAATATCTTCATTTTACACGGAAATATCTTCATTTTACAGATGAAAAAGTGACACAGAGAAAAAGAGAAAGCGAGAAAGTGACTTTGCTCCAGGTCACAACACAGGAAGCCTGAAGAGGAGACAAACTGAATGTGGGTCTCCTGAATGCTTTCGCCACCGCCACTCTTCTGTATAGTTATATCTAATACCTGTATGATTAATAATAGAAAATCTATTATATCTGATACAGCAATATTGAACATTATGTCAGTTGATCAGAAACTGGAATCTGCAGAGGGTACCGTATATTCCGGCATACAAGACGACTTTTGATGTTAAAAAACATCCCCCAAAAATCGGGGGTCGTCTTGTACGCCGGGCATACATCCCAGGCGTGCCTGGGATGCCCCCCCCGCCGGCTTCCCCCGAGGCTTTGAGGATCCTACTTCTACTTCGCGGATTTTCATCTATCGCGGTAGGGTTTGGAACCTATCTACCGCGATAAACGAGGGTTCACTGTATATATGTAGTCAGGAGGAGAGCAGTCTTTTGATGTAATGGAGGCCAAGGGCCTCTTTCAAATCATTTTGAAAAGTGTTTTTCACAGATTGGTTTTGTGCTGTCCTTTTCAGCACTGTTTAGTTCAACCATCCCTCTCTTGTGTAAAACAGCTTTGCAGCACAGAAGGGCTGCCACAGGCCACATGTTATTCTTGAAAACTACATAAATAATAAAATGCAGAGGAGAAAATGCGGGTCCCTTTAGAGAGTTGATGTTTCAAAGCAAGTCCCAGTCTCGCTTCCTTCTGCCTCCTGATTGGGTATGGATCCTGGTCTGCCTTTAGCAACAGATACAAATAGATCCATCTCCTTTGCAATTGGCTGTAGCACGCAATTGAGCCATAGCAACAGCAGAAGATGGCTCTGTCTGACAGATACCCAGGGCTGCAGTATCTTACAAGAATACAGCAATGGGCACTTCCCTTGTGCATCTAATATTCAGGAAGCAAATGAATAACTAAGCATATTCTGGAGGAGATGCTGGAATCGTCACACGACATGGAAAAATAAGCACACAGGCCCAGAAGCTGCGTCTAAGAGGCATTTCCAGTGTGAACAAAGGCATTTCCAGTGTGCGCTGTGATCACAGTGACACTGGTGTAAAATCCAGAGTTGATTTTGCCTAATGTTATCGTTTAGAAGGGGCACTGGTAAAGGGTAAAGAGAAGGCCTTTTATCACTTATCCCAGCAGAATGATCTTCCACTGTCATTCTGTGGTATGGGATGGAAGGTTCATTTCACTGTTACTGAACAGAGAGTGATACCTTCAATTACAGGGAAAATTATGCCTGTGCTGTAGTGAGGCATATTTCTGGCACCTTCCTCTGAAACATCTAGTATTGGCCACTGTTGGACAGAACCCTGGATTATTAAGACCGATGGCGTCATCCTATATAGCAATTCCTATGTTCTTCTTAAAGACACCTGTAGTGGGTTGGAGTGGCCCCCCACTGAGCCGGAGGCGGAGAAACCCCTCAGGGAGCCATTTTGGGCCCAGCCTAGCCCCGCCCCCTCACCTGACCGGAAGTTAAAGTGCGGGGCTAGGAGTATAAGAAGGCCGCCGGGGAGCTCAGTGAGGGCCCAGCCTCTGAAGGAGACGGAGGCCTGTCCAGAGCTCCTGCCGGGGGAGGTTAAGACTGGGCCTAGACCAGCCTCCCCGGAGGCCAGCCAAGGCTTCCCTGCCAGGGCTACGGAGGCCTGGGCAAGCCAGCCAGCCGAACCTCCCGTGGACCCCGAGGACTGGCCTGAGCCACCGGACCAGCTGGAACCCCGATGGGGACTGG